AGGTGAGGAACCAGACGCTAACATTTGGCAAAAGCTCCTGCACCTAGTTAGGGACACAGGCATAGGCTTACCCAGTTAGTGGCAAGTGGGATGCACAATAAGCTTCGGTTGACGTGCTTGGACCATGAGTCCACCCTCTTACAATCAATCAATCAATCAATCTCGTGTCACCGCAAAGCTGTAATGGTTCATTAACTTACTTATTTGTATTCATTCTTTTCCTACAATAACAAATTAAGAAAAATATGTGTTAGCCTATCTGTTTATATACGAATTCCTAATAATCGTAACCGTAGTAAAATATAGGCTATATTTTATATTTCTATTATCACGTTTTATATTAATGTGTTTCCTTACGACTGATTTCAGGCTAAATAAAATACAAATTAAATATGTTTACAAATTACTGTATTTATTTTGTTATAATTTAGGGGTTGGGCTATGACCTCGAAATGAGTGCGGGCCACAGTGAGTCGAGTGAGCAGGGGTAAGGGGTGATTGCAACCTTGAAGCTATATTAAGACTTGCACCACTTCCATAAAGGGCTGGGAAAGGGGATTCCAATTGCAAAAACAATGATACAAAGTTGTTTTATCAGAAATTCCTTGTCCTGTTTGACAATTATTTAGCAATGATTTTTGTATGATTTAGTAGTGACCAGGAGAAATATTTGAATCAATGCCATGATTTGCTTTTTTACATCAAAATACACAACATTGCACAATCGTGATATTTTATTGTGCATTTTTATAATGTATCCGTTACTGCTGTTTCAGAAGAGAAAGACATCGAAAATTAAAAATAATGTTACTTATGTTCCCGTAACTTAGTAGAAAACAATTATTATGTAAACCTATAAAAAAATTAGATAGGCCAACTCATAAAGATAACAACATAAAAACGTCATTATTCTTTCTCTTTGTTCTTGAATTATTTCTTGGGTTTCCTTCTTTCACCCAAGCATTCAACAAAGTTGTCATGGTTACTATACTTATCACCCCATTTAGCCTCATGTGGGGCTTGGAACAACTACTTTTGATACGAGACCCAGAGGTCTCTTGTCGTAATAAAGTAAAAGTTTATTACTTCAGTGCGTTTTGAGGTCTATTTATCTCGTTCATTTCATGTTAACTAGTTGATACATAAAGAAAAATGCATTATAAGTTATATGTAACCCAAGTAGCACACATTGTTGGCCCAACGTTGGGAAATGGTCGGCACGGTTGGGAAATGGTTGGCAGAAATTTTAACGATTTGCCAACGTTGGCCCAACGGAAACTGGTATTCGTTGGCCCTACAAAGGAAAGAATCATTGGGCCTTCGTTGGGTTTAAGTATAAAACATTCTAAAACGCATTTTAACGAATTGATTTATTTAAAGGTACATAAATGTTATGGCAGCAGAATATAAGACAAATATTGTAAACATTTGGATCTTTAATAAATGTAGGCAGATGATGTTGTGATACTAGATACAGTGGGGAACACCAGCTTAACATATAATAATTATAATAATTTCATTTTTTAAACAATATCCTTTAACTTATATTTGAAAAAAATTTTAATAGCTATAGGGGAAAGATTAATTAATCAAATATAACGATCAATTATAACAGTAGTATACTAATCTAATGGTAATTAAATAATATATATTCAAATACTAGTATCATAGACTAACCAACACAAGTAGACTTCTCATCCCATTGTAAATTTTGAAGCACGTTTTTCGTGTCTAGTTCATGTACGTGACACAAAGGCGCTAGTGTCGACGAAACTTTGTTTCTATGATTTTAGGGTTATTTTCTTGATTTGTGCTTTACTGTTTGGTTATATAACTAGGGGACAAGTTATTGTTTATGATTGGATCGTATTATTTGGCTAAACGAGGTTTTAAATGGCTGTAATAATGGGAAACAAATTGTAAACAAAACACGACCTCTACATAAACCGTACAGAACTAACAATAAAATTGTCGTCAGCTGTTCCATAAGGATGAGAAATCTACTAAGGGAGTATGTTTTATCTATGCTAGTAGTGCTAAAGCAATGTCTTTAGACAGCTGAGATTTTCTCAATGTTTTGATTTTTGGTTTCTATGGAAATAATCAGTATTGTAAATAATACTGAAAGAAAGAAAGTTAACACAAACTCAAACTCTTAATTTATTGAACTTATATTAAATTAAACTATACTGTTATAGCAGGTAAACCTATTTACAACTTAAAGTAATCCATGGATTCACTATATGGTAGCAGAGCGTGGTTTCCTGCTTTAACTTTTTAAAACTTTCTTTAAACTTAACTTCTTTACTCAAACTTTTTACAACTTTGAACTTCACCTTCAAGAATAACCAAAAATGTCTTCAAGATGGGACCTTCGATTGAAATCTGCCTTACTGCAACTGAAGACTTATATAAAGGATACAACTACAGTATTGGACACCACGGAATTCACGGAGCTACAACTTGAAACAAGATTACAAACTTTGACTAGCTTTGTGGAGAGCGTGGTGGACATTCAAGATAGACTGGACTCCGAGCCTATAACTGATTATGGACCAACAGGTGAGATCTTCACAGAGGATGAACTTACTAATACCTTGATGGACTACGACGAGGTCGAAGCTCAAATCTCAGTAATATTAGATAGGTCTCGATCTGCTCATCAACAGACAACTGAACCTGGTTCATCTTTGCCGTCATCTGTTCCAAATTACTACGTTCAACTTCCAAAATGGATTTTACCAATTTCCGATCACAGCCTCAATACTAGTGATGACAAAGATGTAGGATTTAAATTACTTGACAATGACCTAGTTGAAGCCGAGTCGCTGACAATTGCTGAGGATATGTCATTACCTCTTGAAAGTTCGAGTTCTATTCGTCAGGAATTGATAGATAACAATGAGGAAACAACACAGATAAGTTCTGTAAATTGTGAGACTTTCAATCTGATATCAGCCGGTGAAGAGGAAGTACATGAGGTACCAGAAATCATCACTTCAAATGGTTTTTAAACAACAACGTCTCACTGAAAGAACAAGCCATGACCTCAGTCAACTCTTTCTATGGTCAGCTGATTGTGATAGGCTCCTCACAGAAGCAAAGCAATACTGTACTTATATATCCCCAAAATGAGAAAATCCCTATCGAATCTGTCAGAGCTACCTCCTCTTCTCATTGTCGGCCTTTAGACGACAGACGAATAAGAGCCACTCACAAGAAGATGGACAGTTTGAGAAGAGACAAGATCAACTTGTAGATCATCTTTGGAAAATGTAGATATAAAGCCAATGACGAGTTTCACTACACACTCTATCGCCCAGTCAAGAAAAAGGGGCCCAGAACAACTAAGGATGTGGGAGTGTGCTAAAGCAATGTCTTTAGACAGCTGAGATTTTCTCAATGTTTTGATTTTTGGTTTCTATGGAAATAATCAGTATTGTAAATAATACTGAAAGAAAGAAAGTTAAACCAAACTCAAACTCTTAATTTATTGAACTTATATTAAATTAAACTATACTGTTATAGCAAGTAAACCTATTTACAACTTAAACTAATCCACGGATTCACTATACTAGTATCCTCTCCAACTACCAGAAAAACAATTCAACTACTTGAGGCCTAAACAGATTAACAGAATCATATTATACTGTATAGTATCAAAAATATTTCAAGTATTGTGACCATTGCACCTGTTGGCTACTCTTTAAACACTTGAAAACACCCATAATCAACAGGCACAGTTACCTCAGGGAGGTAAGGAGTGAGGCTCACAAGGCGAAGGTACCGGGTTCGAGACCCGTTCCGGTCAAATAATTTTTATCTCGTTTTTTTTTCATAATTAATCTTTATGAACTATTTAATCAATTTACTCAACTGATAATTATGTTTTTCATACTAAATCTTTATTATTATTGTGTTTTTTATGTTTAGGCCCAATGGGATGGTTGGCCAACCGTAAGACTGAGTGCCAAAACATACCGTTGGCCAACGATCGACAGAAACGTTGGGCCAACGATTTTTGCTACTTGGGACAAGTTTAATTTCTTTACGATAACTGTACGCCGAAATATTGATGTCGTAACTTTAAGAAAGAAGCCAAATTTTGGGTCCCGTACTACGGGCTAGGTACGCTACGAGACCTCGGGATCCCGTAGCGCAGTGAACGTGTTAACTTGTTAGTTAACACGTTCACTGCGCTACGAGATCCCGATGAAACTGTTCTAAACTAAATAACCAAACATCCAGTAAGTAAGTTGGTTACATTATATGTGCGTAGGCTAACTTAAATGAAGGACAGAAACTAAACGGTACTTTAATACTTTTCAAAGGAAATGGCGACCATTACAAAGTAGGTATTTTAAGCCAAGTATGAATCGAGATGAGTGTAGGATGAGTGGCGCAATCTTGTAGTGTAGGTAGTCTTGTTGGGTACCTACAGTTTCTTAACTGGGCTACGCTAATATTGATTGAAACTAGCCTATCGATTCAATTAGTAAACCTTCATGCGATTTTTTTCACCATCGGCAAGTTTGGTTGGTTAGGTTAGGTTATGATAGTTAAGTTTTATAATAGATAGCCTATATTTTAAAATATCGATTATTAATCAATATTTTCAATTCGATAGTTTCAATCAATATTAGCGTAGCCCAGTTAAGAAACTGTACCCGTCTTGTTAATGACTAACTTAAGGCCGACATAATTTATTCCTTAGACACAGCTGTTAAATAAAATGCAGCCCTACCAAGTAGGCCTACTAACTTAGGCCTATAGCCTAAGCTAGGTAGGCTAGGAGCATGTAACTTAATAGTGATGTCATAAGGAAGCAGGAAAGAAATTATATGACCAGGAATGGTCTTGCCCAGCCTATAAAGAAGTTCAACAATTTCTTTCCATCCCAAAGCCTAGTTAGAGAAAAATTATATATTAATTTAGCATTACTTTTAAAATGAATGTACTTAAACTTAGCAACTCAAATTGATATCAATTTTAATACTTACAGCATAGTGCCGCAACACACAGACACAAAAATGATGACCGATTCATTTCCTGATCATGGAAGAACAAGATTAAGATTTGGAAGATATTGTAATTGTAAGTGTATCTAGCTAGTATTCGTGGTGTAAGCCAAACAGAAACGAAAGCCCTATGCCCTATGAGTAATGAGTTACTAACTAGCTAACTAGCTAGCAGTAGTTTGCAGCAGACAATGACAATACTGATTTACTGTACTGAACTGATGACTCACTGACACTGACTGACACTGAACTGAACTGAACTGACTGACTGAGCTGCACTGACTGACTAGTGACTGAGCTGAGAGCTGAGCTGACAGCTGACTGGAGTCTAAACCTTCGCTAACTCATCACGATGTTGTCACCTGGCGCTGCGGAGTGGGGGAAATGATTCTCCCTCCACCTCCCCTCTAGACGGCGTCCAAACAAGCCCGCGTTGTTTTACATGCATAAACCTATGCTATGCTGCAGTTTTTCAATAAGTTAAAAAATGAATATTTATAAAATTAAACTGTCATAAACTAACCTAACCAACCAAACTTGCAGATTATATAAAAAAAGATTTAAAATAAAAAGCGAATGAAGGTTTACTAATCGAAAAAATAGTTCTGTTCATAAAATAAAATTATAAATGCCTTAAATTCAATTTTATAATTTATTAACTATAAAATTAAACTGTCATAACCTAACAAAACCAACCAAACTTGCTGATAATAAAAAAGTCGAACGAAGGTTTACTAATAGAACAAAAATAGTTCTAAACTAAAACTATAATAGCTCAAATTGAATTTTATAATGTTTTAATTAACAAATTAAACTGTCTTAACCTAACCAAACTAACCAAACTTGCTGATCATGCAAAAATCTTAGACAAAAAGTTAGTGCTACCGAGAGGATTCGAACCTGGTACCTTTACATTGTCAGCCCGGCACGATATCCATTAGACCATCGAGGCCATACCGTATTGTTGTGGTAATGGTGTTCCCTCAGCCAATAGAATGCTGTGCATCCCCCACTCCGCAGTGCCAGGGGACAACATCGTGATGAGTTAGCGAAGGTTTAGACTCCAGTTGACAGCTGGAGCTACAGCTGAGTGAGCTGACTCGACGTTCTGTACCCACGAGCATCTCAGCTTCCACATGCACAGAAGGCCTTGGAACAGTTCCTAGGATAACAGCTATTTGTGTAATAGCTTCACTGTATATCTTTATTGGACCTGGTTAGATAGTTGTTTCTTGTTTCTTTAAACAGTTGCGAACTGTGCATTGTGATTTTGTAAAGGTGTTTATTATTTACGGTTTGTTTACTTTTGAGTTGAGCTTTGAGCTGCTTGAAAAGGTGTTTTATGATTATGAAAATTAAAGTGCTGTGAGTGTAATGAAGCTGATTTGTTATTAGGTATATTGACAATTAAATGTTTTGCGTGCATGAATTATTTATAAAGTTTTAAATGTTCACATAATCTATATTTTTCGGATTCTTCAAGAAAGAGTGATTGTTAATAGGTTAGGTTGTGTTGTGTTTGTGTGTGAATTTGTTAGGCCTAGATTGCAGTTTTGGTAGTGGTAGGTCTAGGTTTGTTTTAAGCTAGTTGGGAAGTTGACCCCTTCAGTTGAGTTTAGGTCTAAGTTTAAGATATTGCCTTTGAAAAAGTTAAATTAATAACACAACTCAACCTAACCTAGGCTATTAACAATCACTCTTTCTTGAGGAATCGGAAAAATTTAAATTAAGTGAACATTTAAAACTTTATAAATAATTTATGCACGCAAAACATTTCTAATAACAAATCAGCTTCGTTACACTCACAGCACTTTAATTTTCATAATCATGAAACACCTTTTCAATCAGCTCAAAGCACAAGTCAAAAGTAAACAAACAGTAAAGAATAAACACCTTTACAAAATTACAATGCACAGTTCGCAACTGTTAAAAGAAATAACTATCTAACCAGGTCCAATAAAGATATACAGTAAAGCTATTACACAAAAAGCTGTTATCCCAGGAGCTGTTCCAAGGCCATGTGCATGTGGAAGCTGAGATGCTCGTGGGTACAGAACGTCGAGTAGTGAGCTGACATCCGTTTCAATCGCGGATTACTCCATTACTCCTCTCGTAATGCGCATGCGCGAGTAAACTATTCCTTGGAACTGTGATATATATCAGACTAGCTGTAACCCGCGGGCTTTGCCCCGTTTAACTTCTTAATTTTCAAGATGATCTCGTTCGCATGGCTCAATCACGTCCTGGTTGAAGTTCGTTCGCTACGCTCACTCACCTTTAGGTTTGAGCTCGTTCGCTGCGCTCACTTGCCTTCAGGTTAGCTCGTTTGCTACGCTAACTCGCCTCCAGGTTGAAGTTCGTTCGCTACGCTCAATCACCTTTTGGTTGCAAATTAGCTATTGTCATAAATGTAAAAGAAATAATAGTGCTGCATCCTGTTGGTAATCCTTGTAACTTTAATGCTATTGGACATCATAGAACAGAACCAACTTGTTTAATTGAAACTGAAACAGCTGTTAAGATTCATTAATTCCATTTCTCATAAGGTTGACATGGGAAACTCCAGAGCCACTGGGGCGGAGCCCAGAGGTCGGAGGGTAAAATCCTTTCTTAGTGAACGTCTACTACCCAAAAGGAAGATGCCTGCCAAGTTTCAGGTTCCTAGGTCTTATGGTTTCTGACATTTCGTGATGAGTGAAGTGGTGAATGAATGAATGAGTCAGTATGGTATTTGAGCTTTATATACAGGGTTAGTAAAAAGTGTGGAGACCCCCTGTTATTTTTTAACGGCCCATACTAGAAAAACTAAACTTGGCACACCATTATGGCATGTTATGAAGTACTTTTTGGGCATAACGGCCACTTGGTGTTCATCCCCAAAATGGGGGATTTTGGGGGAAACTTAATAAAATTTTTGAGTTTTCCCTAAAATCCCCCATTTTGGGGATGTACACCAAGTGACGGTTATGCCCAAAAAGTACTTCATAATATGCCATAAAGGTGTGCCAAGCTTAGTTTTTCTAGTATGGGCCGTTAAAAAATAACAGGGGGTCTCCACACTTTTTACTAACCCTGTATATAGATTTGAGATTTATCTGTTACAACCATGACAACGATTACAAATTACAATGAATTCGATATAGCACACAGGACAGGTTGTTACTTTTACCAACTAGTCTGGGCTTTGCTTTTATTCTACTTCCTGGGACCCATCTATTTTCTATACAGTATATAATTCAGTTTTAAAAATCTTTGTACAACTAAATCTAGAGTTCAAGAGTTCTACTAGACCGATTTTATTAATTAATGGGTCGTTTGAAAGCTTGAGTCCTGTAGATTTGCAAATAATTATCAAAGTTTGTTTTTGTCATGATTTATGGTGAAAAATATAAAAAAAACATGTTTTCCATAAGAAATACATTGAAAACGGCGTTTTTCATACTTTTTATTTGTGTGCGACTTTTGGCTGCATTTTTGAGTACAGTATTTCCAAGAAGTGTGTGGTGTCAATTTGTAGGAAATTTTATTCTCTTTCAGAATATCACCTTCCACTTTGGTCGATTTCCTCACCATTTTAAAGTTATTTGCAAAAAAGCTAAGCAACCTCCGAAATTTGAGAAAATACTGAGTTAGGTATAAACTTAATTTTGTTAAACTTTGTACTGTACAACTAAATCTAGAGATCTACTAGACTAATTTTGTTATTTAATGGGTCATTGGAAAGCGTAATTTATGTAGATTTGCAAATAATTATGACAGTGTGATTTTATTAAATACTAGCTGTGTGCCCGTTCTACGCACGGGTATCTTAGTAGTCAATTGAAACCTTCTTATATTAAGAACAGCAGTTGGGTTGCATATTTTCAGATATGTTGGCAAAACTATTATATATACACCTTCGCAAATACAGTATCTAGTTGAAATCTTCTTATATTAAGAACAGCAGTTGGTTTGCATATTTTATTTTCAGATATGCTGGCAAAACTATTATATATACACCTTCGCAAATACAGTATCTGACAGTTTCAAGCCAAAACAAACGCTTCGCAATTAAATGTCATGTCACCCCATATGTTTGTCCATATGTTAAATCCAATGATTAAACTAAAAAAGCTTTATAGGCCTACTATGAGAAATATATCTATGAGTCATAGCCTATAGGTATAGTTATATATAGTTATAGTTATAGTCTATAAGGTAGGCCTATAGTTGAAAGTTACTTTCCACAATGATTAAAAGTATTTAAAGTACTACCTCAACCTCACCATTTAACACTTTATTTGGGTTGACATTTTCATTATCAAAGGTGCTCAAATTGTCCTTTTCGTGACACTAAGAAATAAGGACATTAATGCGTTACAAACAGACATACACACAAAAATACAGAACTTAATTAGGGAATTTGTTACGTTTTAAGCTTAACAAAGTACATATAAAATTAATTCATCAAATTTTATCATAACAATTTATATTTGCTTGGACCGAAGATGACGCGAAATGCTGTCGAAATGACTGCTTACGATATGAAATAAGTTCTATAGAAGATTTAGATCGGTAATTTATAATACAAATTACCAAAATAGGCCACGAACTATTAAAACATAAACAACGTAAATCGTAAACAATTCACGATGGTTTGCTAAACAAATGTTTTACTTAAAGAGTTATCATTTTCTTAGCATAAACTAACATTTTGGAATCCAGACAGAAAAAGCAAAACTTATACAGTTAAGACATCAATTAAACTGAATAGGACTGTATAAATAAGGTGCAATACCAACGATAACTAATTTGTAAATTACAGTGATGTGTTGGTACGTAAAAATTATTCTTGCAGCTACCAATGGTTCTAAGGAAAAGAACCAGTACCAAAAACCAACGTTTACAGTTAGCAACTAAAGTACATTCGTGCAATTAAATGCGTTAATCAAGTCCCATAAGGTTATTTGATTTCTTGTTTTTGAATTTTCTCGTAAAAATTTATCGCCGACTAAAGTTATTTCCCATTGATTGCTTTATTCGTAAACAACTTTTAATTTAGGCCTAAATTTATTGGTGTCAGTTTGAAAAAAAAAACAACCTTATACAAACAACTTTTTGTTATTTAATAGATTACGTATTATCTAAACAATGATTGGTATATCTATTAACATTAGAAAGATATGTGACAAAAATCACACAATGATGGGTT